TTGGTGGTTCAAACTCAGCAGCCACTCTTCAGAAACCTTATACAGGATCACTATGAGTTGGAACCGACAACACTTAACAACAACAACAGAGATTAGACACATGTCAATATGGGAGACCAGGCAGGCAATATAAACAAGTAGCAGGAGACACAGGGAGGAATGTTACTTTCATCTTTCCTCTGCAAGCCTCCCTTTTGTTATATGTTGTTAAAGTGAATAGAGGTAAATATTGTCAACAATTGATACATGGAAGAGACTACAATCAATGTATTCAGCCATATTCCTGGGTGGTGGCAATTGGCAGGAGGTAAGCAGCAGGTAACCTCAAGGTCAGTGATTCAAATCTACCAGTTGCTCCTCAGGAGACAGATGAGGTTGTGTATTCCTGTGAAGGCGTGCAGTACTGGACCCCATACTGGTAAGAGCACTATGAGTCAGAATCAACTCAGTGGCCATCAGTTTGGTTTGTGGTTTCAGTAGCAGCTGCCTCTTTACGTCAGAGTGTGATTGCCCCAGTTCGCTACACTCCTTGGCCCTCTATTACTTTTCAGCACAGGCAAATGTTCAGTTATCGTTTATCACCAGCTGGTGCTGTTGATACTGTTATAATAGAATTACAAGAAAACAGTTCTCATTAATAGTTCTAAATGTTTCTTGATTCAAATCATTAAGAAAAAGAAATCAAAAGGTACACTGACAACACTATGTGTTGCAAGCAAAGAGGGATGTTGAATGGAAGAACAATCCTAAATAGACAATGATTTGTGCTTCAGATGCAAATCAACATCTCCCATTTATGTTATCTCCCCGACTTCTGCAGCCTCCATAACACCAGGAGAAATGAACATAGTGATGAAGAGCACTGGCTTTGGAGTGAATTCGACATAATTTACTGTGTGGCCTTGATAAATGATTCGTCCTCTCTGTGCTTCCATCTCCTCATACGGAAGATGCAATCAGTGAGCCTACCTCAGAGGACTGTTATGAGGTGGCAAATAAATGAAGGGTGTGAAGATTTTAGCACAACACTTGGCACACATTCAGGGTTAGCTGTTATTAGAGCAGAGTACAGAAAGAGAGCCTGCAAGGATGACTAGGAGGAGTTGTGTGAAATAAGGAAAAATACTTTACACTGAGAAACGTCAAAGCAAAGGCAAGAATTGACAAGTACCCTGCCCCAGGGCCACAACAGAAGCCAGATCATCTAGGAAGATTTTGAAAGACAGGCTGAGAACTATCCAATAAGTCATTATTTCCCAAAATGCCATGCTGTGTGATGGATTTTGGTGATACATTGAATAGGACATTAAATAGCATTGACTCATACACTGAGAAAGTAATTTCCTTTCAATTATTTTCCAATCTTTCTGATTAAGCATAGGCAAATGTCTTGGTTTGATGCTGTTCATAATACTAGGAGTCCCTGAGTCTACAACCGATTACTAATTGAAAGCCTGGCAGTTCAAATCCACCCAGAGGCACCCTGAAAGACAAACATGGTGGTCACGATCTTGAAAACGTCACGAAGCAGCTCTGCTCTGCACACAAGGGGTCACCATGAATAAAACTCCATTGGACAGCAACCAACAAGTAACATCTGCCCATCCCTGGTTTTAGAGACTGAAGACCTCAGCTTAAGGGCTGCTAGCAACAGTATCTACCTACAACTTATTGTTTTGTTTCTCATGACTTAAATTTTACATTTAGCCTCCATCTATAGCAAATAGGGAGTCAGAAAAATTCGCTGTAAAATCATATTTAAGCGAAAATTAAGTTAGACGATTTGAAAATGCATTTTAAAAAGGTAATTAGACAAAAGTTAAGTAACCAGCCGCTCTGAGTCGGAACGGACTCCAAGGGCACATAACCAACCACCAAGTAAACTAGAGGATGGGTAAAATGCGGATACGGCAAGACTTGCGAAGTTCTGGGAAACACCAAGGTGGCTGTCAAATGAGTCCATGATGCACTGGAAGGAAGAGGCAACACCAGGCTGTGATTATGTGTAAAACTGCCGCACGCGTGGCACACTCACTCCTAGGCGCCCTTTGCAATCCTCAGATTATCGTCCACAAAAAGAGGCGGGGGCGGGGGTGGGGGTGGGGGTGGGGGGTGAGGACCTCGCCGTCTCCCAGGCCCAGAGTTCAGCATCCCTCAGCCCAGGCCGCAGGCCTAACGCTCTTGGTAACCACAGTGATTCCCACCAGAGCTCCCACCATCCCCGCCGGGTGGCGGCCTCCCCCTCCTGCCGCACAGTCCCTCTTCTCACCACTGCTCGACTTTATCTCTCCACGTCAAAACGGCCCTCATTGCGGATTCCCTCTCCTCGGGCCCCTCCTCCCCGCGTAAGTAACTGGTCCGCGCCCGCGAGCCACTTTAGCTACCTGCGCTACCCCGGCAACGCACATGCGCAGTGAGCTAGGCGCGAGGCAGAAGGTTTGGCCTGCGCATGTTTAGAAGAGAACCCTTGAAAACGGGAGTCTACAAAAAAAAACGCATGCGCAACTAGGTCGCGCGCGATTAGCCGGGGCATCTTCTTTGACAACAAGATTTGACTGGCTGAGCCATGGAGATGGTGGCTACGACTCAGGGGCCAGCCAGGAAGTTGCTGTGGCGTCTGCCTGATTTTTGCTTCCTTCTGCCTTTGGTCTCAACTTAAAACGTTGAACTGAAGAAATTTTCATATTTTACTCCGCCTCGCCCACCGCCAGGCTCTGGAGACCTCCCGGCTGCGGAGCCTGCTCCAGGAGCACGACTGGGATGGAGAATCTGAGCCTGGACTCAGTCGCCTTAAGTGAGCGCCTAGTGTTGGACCGACAATGTGACCTTAGGCAAGTGATTGCCCATTTTCGGGCCTCAGTTTCACCACTTGTGAAATGGCGGGAGAGGGGAGTGGAAGGTGTGTGGTGGGAATTGAGGTGGCGTTCCGGGAACTGGAACGAAGCACGTCTCCCTTCTCGGGCGGACGGCTACTGAGGATCAGGTGCCTTTGGGGGAGCTGAGCCTAGTAGCAACAACCACCCCAGAAATTAGAGCACATTGTGCATGTGTGCTACGGGGCTCAGATGGCTTCCCCACTCTTATCAAAAGTTCATCATTAGAAGAGAAACGAGGCTTGGAAGAAAGGAAATAACTTGCTTTTGAATACACATCCGCTAAAAATGCAGGGCTGGGATTTGAACCCAGTCTGCTAACCTCAGCGTTTGTGCTGTTTTCACCAGATTTCGTTTTCCACGTTTCTGAACATTTGAACGATAGGATTCCATCAGATCTCACCCACCTCCCTAAAAGTGTTGTTACTTACAGTCGAGTCAGTCCCAACTCATAGCGAACCTGTATATTATTTAATCTCTTAAAATAAGTCAGAATTTCTTGATTCTAACTCTGGTCACTAGCTCTTGCTCCGCCCCCTTCCCCTAGTTTTAGAAAAGACGTGTTAGATGATCTCTGTTTCTCTTCCGACTCATAGTGACCCTCTGTAAGGTTTCCAAGGAGCGAGCGGCTGGTGAATTTGAACTGCCCACTTTGAGGTTCACAATCCAGTGCTGACCCTATACCCTAGCCACCTGATTGTTATTAAGTGCCGTCAGTGGGTTCCGGCACTCAGCGACCTTGTATAGGTTTCCGAGGAGCAGCTGATGGGTTTGAACCACCAACTTTATGGTTCACAGTCTAGTGCTGATCCACAGCGCCACGTGATTAGGATCAATCTAATCTTTGCAGTCCAGAGCACTAACTCACAGCGCCTCACAGATTATTCTTACTGAGTCATAGGAAGGTTGTAATCCTAGTACGGTGCTGTAGGATAAGCACTGGACCATAAGATCAGTTTGAACTGCAAGGTCAGCGGTTCAAACTCGCCAGTCGCTCCTTGGAAACCTTACACAGAGTTGCTATGCCTCGGATCCGACTTGGCGGTTCAAGTCGTTTGAACTGCAAGGTTGGTGGTCCAAGCTCACCAGCTGCTCCTTGGAAACCATATATAGGGTCACTATGGGTCGGAATCTACTCAACGGCGCTTAATAACAACAACAATCCTGGTATGGCTCTGCGGGATAATGCGCTGGACTGCAAGGTCGAACCCAGAGGTCAGTGGTTCAAACTCCCCAGCCAACAATCCTAATTAATAGTATGGGGGTGGGAGAGTACAAGGAGGCCTTTAAAAACTTATGGAAAATTGGAAATTCTATAAACTTCTCGAAGCCCCCTTGTATTTAACCAAGATTTGGAAGACCTGGATTCTAGTATCAGTTCTGCAAGCCACCTTCATGTTGTTAAGTGCTGTTAAGTCTCTTCGGCTACCCTGTGTAAGGTTTCCAAGGAGCGGCTAGAGACTTCGAACCACTGACCTTGCAGTTCAAACTGATATTATGGTTCAGTACTTATCCTACAACACCACACCAGGACTACAACCTTCCTATTACACAGTAAGAATAATCTGTGTGGGCTGGTTTACAGGCTTTCAAGAGGAAGTCTAGGTCCAGAAGGCACAGAGGAAGGTAAAAATCTCCACTGAATAGTTCCGAGTCTGTCTAGGCGGGGCTGATGAAAGGAGATGGGGATAGGTCTCTTGTGGTACAATAGTGAATAATTGTTATCAGGACTGACTGTGAGGGAAAAGAAGGGGAGTGATTGACTTTGTAGTCCAGGGGCAGAGGTTCCTGGAACCATCAAGGGAGAAGAGTAGAGTGCAGGACCCTATCCAGAGAGACAGGTGACACCAGAGATGGAGGCAGAGACAATGATGTGGAGAGATGGAGCGGCTGGGAACTCTAGACCCAGAAAGGGAGAGGGGCTATGTGCTGACGACCGGGTGGGGGTTGGGGGGGGCAGGTTTGCAGGTTATACCCTTTGGTTGGTTGATGATGCATGGAGGGGACTGTAACCATGGCAATGGAACATATACCATAGGATGAATGTAAAGCTAATGTTCGCCCATGTAAACTATCACATAATTCACAGTAAAACATTAAAAAAAAAGAAGAATCTGTGGCGCTGTGGGTTAATGCTCTGGACTGCAAAGTCGGTTTGAACCACAAGGTCGGCAGTTGAAGCCACCAGCCGCTCCTTGGAAACCCTACACAGGGTCACTATGGGTCAGAACCGACTCGATGGGACTTAACAACAACCTACCTCAAAAGGTTATCTTGAGGATAAAGATTTGAAGATTGTGAGGCAGAAATGACTTAATTTTGAAGGGTGACAACATCTGATGAAAGTGGTGGGCATTCTCCCCCAGAAAAATACCCACATACATATAATTCTGACCTCACTTGTTTGTGGACAGGAGTGTCTCACCGATGTTTTTAAACACTTCTATTGGTCCCAGTTAAGACCTCAGATGTTGCTTCGTATTAATGCATATGTCAATTATCACCAGGAATCTTCATAAACATTCACTGATTAACCAAAAAAAGTTCCTACTAATCAGCTTGCATTTTTCATTGTTCAGATAATAACAACACTTAAACCTGAAAATAGCTTGTCCCATAGCACCAGACTACTCTATACTGATTTAAATCTCACATTTTATCTTAATAATCCATATGCTTCCCACCGGGTTATAGACTGAACTTGAATAAGCAGTAGAAAATAAATTATAAACGAATTAATCACTTACACTTTATTTCCAGTGAGGAAGGTGTTACTCTGGGAACAGAAAGATCGAGAGAAGATGAGAAACAAATCGTGGCAAAAAGCAGCAATGAATGTGATCCCCTGCTCCAAGAACCTATTGCTTCTGCTCAGTTGGATGGCACCACAGTGACAGAATGCCATAAGTCTGTCCCCTGTGGTTGGGAAAGAGTTGTGAAGCAGCGGTTATCAGGGAAAACAGCAGGAAGATTTGATGTGTGTTTTATCAGGTAAATAATGTTTTTCTAAACATGTATTAGGATATAGAATGGCAGGAATCTTGGCTTATTTCAATTTGTACCATGAAACCATTGTGGATTCTATTCCTTCAACAACACTGGTTAGTTTTATCAAGTGATTTGAGAACCGTTACATACACTTTGTTCCTCCCATTGCAAAATGGTATGGTGCGATAGGATAAGCATTACACTGCAAGGTTGATTTGAACCACAAGGTTGGCAGTTCAAACCCACCAGTTACTCCTCAGAAACCCTATACAGGCTTGCTATGAGTTGGAACTGACTCGACAGCACTTACAAACAATAGCTGCAAAATATATACATTTATCAAGTATATAGGGTCACTAGAGTCAAATTCGGCTCGACAACAGTGAGTTGAATTTGGTATGGAAGAAACCAATTTAAAGTACCATTTTCCCATGATTGTATTTTAAATGAGAAATACAATACCAAGTCTACATTTGTTGTTGTTAACTGCCATTGAGTCAGTTCTGATTCATAGTGACCCTGTATAGGGTTTCCAAGGAGCAGCTGGTGGGTTTGAACTGCTGACCTTGTGGTTATCAGTCCAGTGCTCATCCTACAGTGCCACACCAGGAGTCTATATTTGGAAGATATTAATTAGAAAGCTGAAATACAGCACAATTATTTTTAAAAGTCACTTCTGTTTACTAACATGAAGCTTTCTTTCATGTCATTTTGTAGCCCTAAAGGACTGAAGTTCAGATCCAAAAGTTCACTTGTTGATTATCTTCATAAAAATGGAGAGAGTTCTCTTAAGCCAGAAGATTTTGATTTTACTGTACTTCCTAAAAGGGACATTAAATCAAAATATAAAGATAGTAGCAAGACAGCTCTCACATCCCGAGTGCAAAAGAAAAGTAACAATTCAAACCCCAAGACACAATGGGGGTTGACAAAGGATGTGTGTCCTCTTCCACAAGATAGTTCAGAATTGCAGGATAGCACTGGACTATCTAACCTTACTTCCATTCATTTGATTTTGAAAGAAGATGAGGGTGTTAATGGTGTTAATTCCAGGAAGCTTAGAAAGTCTAAAGGAAAGATGACTCATTTGAAAAGGATTCAAATGAAGAAAATGAAACAAGGGTCCAGGAAGAGTCTTTCAGATTCTGTTCAAAGTAATAGAAGAGGAGAAACTGTCTGTTGTACAGCGGATGGTGAAGAGCCTGTTGTACAAGGGAGTCCACTTGGTAGAACTCTCTGCCTTTCCGATGCCACAGGGAGTGACGAGACCCTCATTGTGACTGATGAAGAAAGGAGACTTGTGAATGAGAAATCATTGCATTCAGGATCAAATTGTCATTTTGGAAAGCTAACTTCTGGCACTAGGAACATACCATGCTGCCAAGAAGCAGAGCACAATCAGAAATGTGAAGGTACCTTTTTAGAATCTAAGGAAATCAGAACAAATGTGGACGTTGGAGAGAGGAAGAAACATTTGCATACTGACATTTTAAAATGCGGCTCTGAGATCGGTAGCAGCTGCTCACAAGCTGAGAAAAACTTTACTTCCGTGAAAATATTTCAAGGTAATCAGTGCTTTCAAATGCTTTTGGAAATTGTTCAGTGAGGACTTCCTTCCTCTGGATCTCTTATGTCATACCTCTTCAGGGTTAGGATATGTGTATACAGCCAAGAAAGGAGGCCAGATACTGCATACACTCCATTAGCTTAGGTTGATACCTTGTCTAAACTATGAGCTGCCCAGCTAATGTTCTAGCCCTTTCCTATGGCAGAGAGGGATTTAGCTGCTACAATCTGATGTCCCATGAGTCCTTCTGTGGTGCTGTATCATCAGCACTGAACTGCTAACCACAAGGCTGGTGGTTCAAACCCACCAGCAGCTCCTCAGTGCGTCAGCATGACTTGCCAGCACTTACACCACCACCACCACCTTGATATCCCCAGCAAAAGAGAGTCGTGTGTTTAGCAGCTGCCACGCTGTCCCTGGTGAAGCACTTCTCAGCAGTGCATTCTCTTGTTCCCGTACTCTTTCTAGCCAGTAATCTTAAGAATTTAAGGAAAATTCAAAGATTTGTGAAACAATTTAGAGAGAATGCCTTTTATACGTAGACTGGTCAGTGTCGTCTCTTCCTAGTCCATCTGTTAATTACTACTGATAGGTGACTTCCAATTTAATTGTGCATGTATTATCATCATTTTGCCTTCAACTGTAATGTAGTGCTTCTCTAAAATACTTTAAAGCTCTAAATAATTCAAAACTGTAATCACATAGTTCATCTATTATTTGTAGTATGCTCTTAATACAGAATTGAGAGCTTAGCAGTTTTGCTTTTATAATACCTCAGTGACTAAGAGATAAAAAGGAGACCTTTTGAGCAGGCCTGTATTAGTCATTCATTATGCCATTATGGTATAATGAATAACTCCTTTAAAGAAAAAGTAATTTAACTTAAAATCCTATAGGGAGACAGCCTAGACAAATTGGTAGAGCAGGGGGTTATGGCTTAATTCCAGCACTCAAACCCACCTGTGATTTTTGTCCTTTCTGTCTTCAAAATTTCTCTCTGTTGGCAATAGCTGTATGTATCTAGGAACTACATAAGAATGTTTGAAAGTCTCTCCTGTAAAGACTGTGGAGCAGCTTAAGGAAAGCTTTGAAGCTTGCATATATAACAGAAAAATTAAAAATTTAAAACACCCTTTGCAACTAAAATTCTGAAAAGGAATTTTTTTCATCCTACACAAAAAGAACTTAGGTTCTCATCATAAGATGAACTATCTTTAAATTAAAAGGTATCTCGTGTTGTAGGATAAGCACTGGACCACAAAGTTGGTTTGAACTGCAAGGTCAGACTCACCTGTTGCTTCTCAGAAACACTATGTTGTTATTTGTTGTTATGTGCTGTGGAATCGGTTACAACTCATAGCAATGCTGTATAGGGTTTCCAAGGAGTGGCTGGTGGTTTGAACTGCCACCTTACAGTTCAAATCTACCTTTGAGTCCAGTGCTTACCCGACAGCACACTAGGACTCCTAGAAACCCTATACAGGGTCACTATGAGTCGGAACCAACTCGATGGCACTTAAGAACAATTGGAAGAGTAAAGATTTTCCCATTGGTTTAGCTAGAAATTGCCAAAGTTCTGTTTGACTCAAACTGGGTCTCCTAGGAATAAAGGAGACTAATTAATGATTGCTTGTAGGGACCCACAGAGAACATTTCCAAATAAGAGCCATTTCCTGTATTCTGAATTATAGGGTCCATTGGTCTTTCTGTGTTCAAACTAGAAAAGCAAAAAAAAAAAAAAACCAAACACTTGACTAATTATCTGAAGACCTGCATTCTTGTCCCAGTTTGTTGTCAATCTCAGTAACATTTTGGGATGATGGCTTAGTTATTTTTAAGTCTTAATTTCTTCATCTGTAAAATGGAGACACTCAGTCTTATTTTCCACATCAAAAATATACAAGGTATATTGAGAAGTGAAATAGATGATGTCATGCTACACAAATGCAAGATATTATTAGATGATATTCAAATTTAAAGGGTGTGGCTAAACAGAGTATTAGTTGGTGCTTTTAGAAACTTGGGAAGTCTGATAACTGGTCAAATAGTTTTTGTTGAATTAACAGCTTCCCTGTAGATAATGTTGTTATGAAGTGCCATCAAGTCAGTTCCGACCCATAGTGACCCTGTATAGGGTTTCTGAGGTCATTTTGAACTGCTGACCTTGAGATTTGCAGTGTGACTTGCAACCACTACACTACCAGAGCTTCTCTCCTATAGATAATAGTCACCGGTAAGTCCAAGGTCCAAATCAGAAGCTCTGAGATTTTTCTGCAGGTTCTATTTTGAATATAGAAAATTAGAGAAGAAAATTTAAAAATCACTGCTCAGAAAACAACTCTGCTATTTTGGTTTATTTCATTCTATTCTCTGTGGTTATGTATTTGTCTTTGGGTTTTACAGTGAAACCTGTAACAGCTGGAACTCACCAGCACTGCCTTGTTTTTTTGGGTCGTGCAAATTTACCCCTTGGGCAGAGTACATGGTTTTAGTGAAAAATATTTACATGGCCACCATAGGTTTTCTGGCATATTGAATCTTGCTTTTTTACTTAAAAGTTAATGACATGCACCATTCTCACCATCATTACAGCAACACACAAGCCACCACAGTACAGCAAACTGACTGGTGAGTGGTGGATTCATGAAATAGCCTTAAAAAACATTTTAGTAACTCTATTGTACAGTTGTGTCTTCACTTAAAATGGTCCGTGTTGTCAATTTTTCAATACAATGAACATTGAACACAAACCAGAGAGCCTGTATGACAGTGCTGCTAAAGGCATGACCTCAGGAGCCAGACTGCCTAGATTTGAATTTCAGCTCTGATACTTACTAGCTGCATGACCTTGGGCAAGGAACTTGCTTTCTCTGTACTTGAGTTTTCTTCTCTGGAATGTGGACATAGAGAGTACCAACCTCATAGGTCATTGTTGTTCACTGCAGTCGAATCTGTTCTGACTCATAGTGACACTGTAAAGTGTTTCTGAGGAGCCACTAGTGGATCTGAACCACTTACCTTGTGGTTAGCAGTCCAGTGCTTATCCTACAGGACCACACCTGGACTCCAAGGTTATTAGTAGAATCATATGGTACTTACATAAAGTACCTAGCACATAGTATTTTGTTATTTTAGTCTGATTTATAGAAACTCATAGGGTTTCCAGTGAACAGCTGGTGAGTTTAAACCACCGACCTTGCAGTTCAAACTGACCTTACGGTCCAGTGCTTATCCTACAGTGCCACACCAGAACTCCATACAATGATTTGCATGTAGTGTTTATTATTACTATTTATTCTGTGATTAGGCTAAGCTGTAGAGTCTATAAATAGTATTCACTCTTCCTTTTCAGAAGACACACCTGTTCCACGAACCCAAATAGAAAAAAGGAAAACAAGCCTGTATTTTTCCAGCAAGTACAACAAAGAAGGTATTCCTATCCCAATAAGAAAATCAGATTGTAAACCATTTCAGGTGCTCAGCTCTGAGGGTGTGTATTTGTTTAGCTCTTAGCCCCCCACGACGAAAGGCCTTTAAGAAGTGGACACCTCCGCGGTCACCTTTTAATCTCGTTCAGGAAACACTTTTTCATGACCCCTGGAAACTCCTCGTTGCCACTATATTTCTCAATCGGACCTCAGGTTTGTGAGATCTGTCAATCTTTGGCTTAGTAGAGACTGATGAAGGGAAAGAGCAATGAATTGATTAAGAGACCTGGTTCAGATTCAGTGAGTGTGTGACCTTGGGTAAGGCCTTCCACTTTTGGTCCTCAGTCTCCATCTATGAGAAGAAAGTCAGACTAGATAATGTCCTAGAGCATTTTTAGCATTAAGGGGCAGGTTCCTCAGGTATTTTCTACTTCTAAGTTAATTTTGGTCATCAATGGAAATCAGTTACTTATCATTCCTCCACCCTCTGCTGTGCGTAAAAGCACTTTTTTATTGAATGTCTTCGCTCATGTCACTGACACCGTGTGTTTTATTTGCTTTTACATTGGTTAGCTGATGATCTTTTAAAAACTATTATCACGCAAGGTCAGGTTTCTACATATTTTGCACTGTTAGCCAAATAGATTAATGATGTTGGTTTTGTACTCTGAAAGTAGTTGCCGATTCAGAGAATAGCTTCTATCAGTGGAAAAACAACCACCACCAGCAAAAAAAACCCTGAGATTTTTAGGTGAGGGAATTATTTGAACTTGGAATCAGCCCACCTGAAGGCTTGTGATCATGCAGTAATTTTTACCTCCCAGGGAAAATGGCAATACCTGTGCTTTGGGAGTTTCTGGAGAAGTACCCTTCAGCCGAGGTAGCAAGAACTGCAGACTGGAGAGATGTATCTGAACTGCTGAAACCTCTTGGTCTCTATGATCTTCGAGCAAAGACCCTTGTCAAGTTCTCAGGTACCTTCCCATATGCCCTAAAGAGAAAACATCCACTGTGCCTTTTAAAGAGAAACACACCATAAACTTTGTCTTCAGACAAAGTTTTAAATTAAGAGAGGCATTTCAAACCAGTCTGCTTGCCCCAAACCACAGTCTTCCCCTGACCCAGGGAAGAAGTCAATGAAGACAAAGCCTAGTGATTGACCTCACAAACACGACTTCATCTCAGGGGTGGTGGTAGTGTGCCATCGAATTAGTTCCTACTCATAGTGAACTTACTTAGCGGTACTGAGGTTATAAATCTTTACAGGAACAGAAAGCCTCATCTTCCGCACAACCACTGGGTAGTTTCAAGCTGCTGACCTTAAGGTTAGCAGCCCAATTCATAACCACTACGCTATCAGAGCTGCTTCTCTACAACATTATTCTCATCTCGTTAGCAGTGAAAATGAATGGATTCCTAAATGACAGAGGAGACTTTCTGACAAGTTTGCTGCCAGAATGCATAAGTTCCGTCACTTGGACTGTTAGGAAAGGCTCCCTCCTGTCCCCTTTTCCCATTTTCTCAGTCCTGTCCCCCTCACCATACATGTAGAGAAGGTATCTTCCTAGAGGCTCATGTGATGTGTGGGTATTGTATTCTCCAGATGAATATCTGACAAAGCAGTGGAAGTATCCGATTGAGCTACATGGGATTGGTAAATATGGCAACGACTCTTACCGAATTTTTTGCATCAACGAGTGGAAGCAGGTGAGGCCCACTCCGGACCATAGTATATCGAGCACATTTTGTCTCTGAGATAAAATAAGTCCACCATTGTAAGGAAAAGTATTTCTTAGACAAATCTTGCCAATTTTGTTCCCACATTGAGGAGTGGCGACAACCCAGGGTAATTGGCAGCAGGGGGAAGATCCAGCCATATGCAGACCCCTTTAACATGCTCTCTGACTGACCTCTAATGGTTTGGCCACTTCTGGCCCTTTCTTTTCCCATTCAGATAATATCGCTATGCCCTGAAGTGATTTTCCTCCTGTCTTGGTAACAATAGCCTGCAAAAGCCTACAGGAAAACAGGCTTAGTACACAATTGTCGGGTTCTCAGGCTGTGTTTGTGGTAGCTGGCTCTCATTTCAGCAACTCACTCTGTTGACTATGCCCAGCCCACAGGCATCCTGGTGGGATCTGGGAGCTGGTGGTGCTACTGGGTGGCCTGTTCATGGTCTCCGAAGTCTGACTCACTCTAAAACTTTTGCCAGTAGATCTGGCCAAATCTGGGCTAACAATTCATGTGCCAGTTCCCACTCTGCAATTTATTTTGGCTTGAGTTGTTTACTCTCCGGATGTATACACTCTTTCTGGAAAATGGGGATAATGGACTCATATCACCACCACACCCCAGCTGTGGGTCATAGTGAGCATCAGCACAAAATTGGAAAGTGCTCTGCAGACTCAAGAATTATATTAATATGAGAATATTAATATAATATTCTGGAATACTGATGAATTCCATTAGATTAAAGGTGATCATTTTCAGGTATGTTATTGTAATGTACTGTTCCCTACCGTACTTTAAGAAGTCAATTAAGAACAGTGCAGTTCTGACCAACTCTGTCTCTTAATGTGCTGTATTTGTTCCAGGTGCACCCTGAAGACCATAAGTTAAATAAATATCATGACTGGCTTTGGGAAAATCATGAAAAATTAAGTCTGTCTTAAAACTCTTTCAAGTTTTCAAACTCATTTTTTAAGATTTACGTTTTACTTTGATTCTGAAGCACTCTATTAAGCACCACCAGCCACCTGTCCAGACATTCAGAGTTTCCTCAGCCCAATGGTAACCACCGTGTGTTCTCTTAGTGTGGGCACCGCTGCTGCACCGTTGCTACCAAATGCACTAGACCGTGTGGGGAACTTTGTTTTGTTTTTAATAAAGTCTGATAACAATCCTCAAAAATGGATACAGCAGCCCTTTCTCCCTCCCTGGCCATCTTGGCGACTGCTCTTGGTTGGGGGCCATCCCACACCTAAGGTGGGAAGATGGTGGCCGCAAAGAAGACGAAAAAGTCACTGGAGTCCATCAACTCGCGGCTCTAACTTGTATGATGATGATCCCACAAGGCAAAGCGAAGCTGGGCATCCTCGCCAACCACTGCCCGGCCTTGAGGAAATCCGAGATCAAATACTACGTCATGTTGACCAAAACTGGTGTCCATCACTACAGTGGCAATAATATTGTACTGGGCACAGCGTGCGGAAATACTGCAGAGTCTGCACACTGGCTATCATTGATCCAGGTGATTCCGATATCATTAGAAGCATGCCCGAACAAACTGGTGAAAAATAAATCATGCATTTTTTTTCTTTAATAAAACTGGCCAAAACTTGTTTTATGTTGTTTTTTTTTTTTTAAAAAAAAATGGATACAGCTTTTCCAATAATGAAATGTACTGTGAAGGTGAAAAAACTTCTAAACTATCAGTAATACAAACCAAATTTCAATGAACCCTGCTAGGTGAAAGATAAGTTCTTTTTCTACAGAAAATTATAGTACACAATTGGTATATGAAGAAGCATCAGCATTTTCAGCCAAACATGTAAGAGAAATAGTGTCACAATGTATGCCGGGCTTAATTAATCAAAATTTGTTTTAAAAAAGTCAACTTTCTAAAGGAAAACATGATTCTTTGACACCCGGTGTTCTTGCTGACTCCACACTGACTTTAAGGAATTTGAGAATCACCCGAGCATGTCTGTGAGAACAGTCGGTGACCTGCTACGCAGTGTTAGCTCCCAAGTTTCTGCTTAGGCCTTTTACTCTCACCTCTTCATAAGAACTTACGTAGCTACCACATCTTTCATCTTCCAGCTGAGGAACCAGACATTTCAAGTTTGATACCATTTTTATTACTGGTAGTGTAATATTAACAACTCAAATGCCAACACATTTACTGTAGAAGAATCACTAAATTGCCCAAGAAAATCCTAAGTTTCTTTAAGTCTCAGTTACCCCATTTTAAAGTACAATTTGAAATTTAAGTCAAACAAATGGGGAGTAAATTGTTAGGGAAACTCCCTTTGTTATGGGGTGGTGTGGGAACACCATCAGGTTCCAGGTGCTATAGGGCTAGCTGTTGGATTCCACTGTGATGAGCCAGTTTGCACTTTTGGAGAAGCATGGATTTTGACTGGGAAACATGAGAGCGAGTCATGCCCACATCTCAAGGCAAACATAGACTTCACAATATTCCATTACATATTTTTAAAACAAATATCAAAGTTGTTACGTGCCATCAAGTTGGTTATGACACATCATGACCCTGTATAGGGATTTTGAGGAGCAGCTGGTGAGATGGAATCATCGACTTGAGGTTCTAACTGACCTGCAGTCTAGTGCTTACTCTACAGTGCCACACCAGACTATCAAAGTAGCAATCACCAAATGCAAAACACTGCTGGGGAGGGAACAATGAGGAAAAGATTGTAAAGACCCTCAAAGAGACAGACACACACGATAGTGGGAGGGAGAAAAGGGGCCAGGTACGGGGATGATAAAAAAAAACATGGCTGACTTCAAAAGGTTGTATACCTGTCATAAGTGGAATTGGTACATTTACAGCAACGACAAAGAAATACTAAGCTTACATACAACCGAAATACTCCTGAGATTTGGTTCCTGGGCTCAGAGGTTTAGGGTCATGAATTCATAGGACTTCATGTGTTTGCTGTTAGTGATACAGAGTCAGTTCTGACTCAGCAACCCTGTATAGGGTTTCCTCACAGAAAAGAATGCCTCAGTGTTCTCCCATGGAGCAGCTGGACTTTGTGGTTCGCAGTCCAATGCTTATCATGTGGTCACCATGCTCAATAATACGGCTAGTGTTTCTGATGTACCTCCTAGTTCTTTGAGTGGAGTGTCAGGGCCTTAAAAGTTTGGAAGCGGACATCCAAGGCACAGCAATTGGTCTCTGTTTGCCTGAAGCAACAGAGGAAGAAGGAAAGTCAGAAATTGGAGGATATGGAATATGCTAATTGTCTTCATTAACAGTTTCCTTTGCCATGAGACCAGAAGAACTGGGTGGTGCCCACCTATCATTATTGAATATTTCTATCAAAGATTCTATAGAATGATCCTGATTAAAAGGTCGGGGTTTGCAGAACAAAAGTGCAAATTCTCATGGACTCCAAACTTTCAGGAGTGATAGAGAGGCTGGGTGAACTATTGCCCTGCGATCATCTTTAAACCTTAAACCAAAAATTATCCCCTTACATCTTACAACCAAACCATTGCCTTTATTTTAACTAGTAGAAAACTGTCTGCCTCAAGCATTATTCTCTTAAGAACTACAAGGGCTCAAGGCAACAACAGCAAGTTGCTAGATTAGGTAGGAACCTTAGGGGGTAGTGAGTTTATGTTAAGGGAGGAACAACTCCTAAGAATGACGGTGAGATATGATACAAAATTGTACATGTAGAAACTATTGGTACATGTTTTGCTGTGTATATTTGTCAACAATACTTACTTCTTAAATAATAAAAGTATGGCTCTGTAGGATAAACACTGGACTTGGAACCACAAGGTTGGCAGTTAGCTGGAAACCCTGTATGGGGTCACCATGAGTCAGAATTAACTCGACAGCACTTAACCACAACAACAGTACATACAGTGAGGCATCTGAAATCTGAACAATAGCTGGGGATTGATGATCCAGAACCATAGTTGGGGATTGATGGGGCAAGCCAAGTTTATGAAGCTTAGGAAACCAGCTATGGCTGAGTGGTGGGCCTGTTGTCAACTCCCCCTCCACCACCATCAGGAGGTGACCTGTGCGCACATGGGACCAGAGCCAGGTTCCTCCAGTTCCACTCCTGACACTGACCCTTAGCTGCAGATGAGGTTGCCTGACCTCACTACTCTTTCCTCATCTCTTTGCTCACCTCACAGGGTTATTGTGATTTTTAATATATAAAGTTTAAAACAGTGCTTGCTCTACCAAATTCTTGATGGAGTAGCCCATTATCTAAAGTGGGGCAGTCTGCAGGACTACCTCAGGTTGTTGAGAGGGTCACCAAAGACAATGCATTTCAGTGAAGGTGCTTTACACAGAGTAAGGGCTCAAAACATTTACTTTTGTTTAACTTTTTAGAATTGAGGAAGTCCACATAACAGAATTCACCATTTTTAGACAGACAAATAATTTTTAATACATTCACAGTGCTACGTGCCATCATGATTACATAATTCCAGAACATTTCCATCACTCCAAAAATTAAGTACCCATTCCCTTCTTCCCAGCCCCTGGCAACCACTAATCTGGACATTTCGTATCTATGCAATCATATTACATGTGGCTTCTTAGCATAACGTTTCCAAGGTGCATCTACATGTTAGCGTGTATCAGAATTCTTTCCTCTTTAGAGCGAAATAATACTCCATTGTATACATATGCCACATTTGATCAAGGGATGGACATTTCAGGCCTTCATTATTCTCTGATTCTCAGACTATAATTCCAAACCTGTTTCGATGAGAACACAATCCTAAAGCTGTCATATGCAGACCTACCGAAAAATCCTGCTGATTATGGGAAAAACCAGAGATTTATGACTCCAGATTCAAGGGTTAACTGAACCAAACTAAAAAATCCTAACTTTCTCCAAGTACCTTTTGTGGCATCTCCCAGCAGGCGGCTAAAGGCAACCAAATCCTCGGGCGCTGGCTAGCCCCCGCCCCGCCTCTCTCAGCGTTCAGCCAATCAGCACGTTTGAGTTGGTTGTTATGTCAACCAGAATGCTCCCTCCTGTTGTGCCGCGGTGCCGGGGGTTTTCTGAATGCCCAGCACTTCCATGCATGCGCACACACAGAAGTACACACAGCAAGTTCACACGAACACGCATACTCTTCCGCACCTGACCCCAGCTCCGCGACCATGGACCTGTCCATAGAAACGTACGAGGCGCTGTTCATGTCTTTGCTTGGTAAGCTCGCAGGAAGCAGTGCCTCCTCCCGGAAGCCCTTAGTCCCTTGCGGACGCAAGAAAGTGGGTTGAGGGTATGGACGGGTGGAGATCTTTGCCATCTTCACCATTTCGTGGTGAGAGGTTTTGGGAGTTGAGTTGAGGTGAAAGGGGGAACTATAAACTGCTTACATAATAAGAAGGGGTGTATACTGGGCCCAGGGGTGATCCAGGTAGGAAGAGGTCCTTGGAGTGTAGAGGGTGTATCCAACCTCCTGAAAGAAATCTTTATACTAGGACTTAAAGGAGAAAAAGCGTTCTCCAAGCCCAAAGAGCCAAGAAAACAGTATACCGATATGCCCAGAGATATGGGTTCCTCGGGAAACTTCTGGTTTGAGGATATCTGCAGATAGGTTGGAGAGGTCAGAAGGGACTAGGTCATGAAAGGTTTTGTAAGCTGGAAGAAGGGGAAGCTACAGAAGTGATAGTATTGGATTGGTTTTGTTGTTAAGTGCCATGGAATCGGTTCTGACCCATAGCAACCCTGTAAAGGTTGGTGAGAGGAGTGGCTGGTGACCTTGAACCACTGACCTTGCGGTAAAAACCGACTTTGCCATTCAGTGCATTAAACTACAGCACCACATATGTGTTAATGTTAAGTGCCTTGGAGTCAGTTCCAATGCGTAGTGACCCTGTATAGAGTTTCTGAGGAGCAGCTGGTGAATTTGAACCATTGACCTTGTGGTTCAAACCAACTTTGCAGTCCAGTACATTAACCCACAGCGACACACCACACCTGTTGTTATTAGGTGCTATCAAGTCGGTACCGACTCAGAGCGACCCTATGTACAACAGAAAGAAACACTGCCC